TCAGCCTTGCATTTTGGACCATGTTGTCTGCCTAAAAGTGGAATACGCCAGCTGGGAACTGTTGTGCTAGTTACTATGCATGTGACTTACAAGCAGAAGCAGGAATTAGATTGTGCTTTTGAGTCCTTTTGGTTCCACTCTGGCTATCCAGTTCCTTAAATGCTGTGTTTTGCCACATGGTGAATCACAAAAGCACGCCACCTGCCTCATGACTGGGCAAGACAGGATAGGAAGGACTTGTGCAAGGTGATCAGACAGTCACTGAGCTGAGGGAAAAGATGTGCAAGCAACGCTTCTCTTGTGAATAGTCACTTCCTGGGAAAGCTTTTGGCCTCCTAGTGCTCCAAAGTTTCATGGAAGAACCTCAGATAACCTTAAACTGATGATTTGCTTCACCTTACTAGCTCCTGTATTACTTCACTATCTTTCATCTTTTGCATGTACTATAAACTGGCTGGAACAGTTACACATGTGTAGCGCCAAACCACCTTCTCTAGCTGGGGGTGGGAGGATGAAAAGGACCCCTGGGCAATGGGAAAAATAATAAATAGTGAATATGCCTCTTCCTCCCCCTTACAGTAATTCTGACTGACAGATGAGGTAGTAAATTCTGCACAGATTGCATCTGATTATTTTGTGCTGAAGAGAACACATTTCCTCTCTCTGTCTGGCCTGACTTGCTTTCTGTAGCAAAGACTTTGACAAGAACAAGAGTAGAACATAATGAAGAAACAAGAAAGCCCCTCCCATAAGGTAGGCAGATCAGCTTTTGATCCTCTGTGGGTGTTATTACTCTGCCGTCCTAAGTCAGGCCTATACAGATGTAAATAAACTCTTTAAAGATGATTATAAAGAGTTTTTTGTTACTATCACAGGAACATTCTGAAACCATCTCTCATGGGATGATATTTGGCTCTAAATTAGCTACCTTGTAATTTGCACGACTAGGATGTCTGGTTTCTCGTTAGGGAGAACGGTCGAGAGAACCAAACTGCTTGATGTCTTCCATTACAATATCTGCCTTGTGAAAAACATTGTTATAATAGCGGCCTCCAATCATACCACTGAGAGACTGGGAACCCTGTTGTGCTAGGAAATAGACTTTGAAATAACAGAAAGATGAATCCTGAATACATGAGGAAAACAGACAAATAAGAGCATAGGTAACAATGAGACTGTTGCATTTTGCACAGTAAATAGAGCCTGAGCAGACCAGTCATTTTGTCAGTATTGCCCTGTGGGAGCTGAGCAAGAACAATATATGGTTCAGCTGGCATTTATGAAAAGCTCCCGTGGTTGTGACAGGGAAAATGAGGGAAAACACAAAGGGTGATTTTAAATCTTGAAGACTAAAAAGTAACATCACTAGCAGAGTCAAGGCAGAAGCCAGATTTTCAGTATCGTGGAAAAGCTGGTGGGTAGATTGAACGGGGCCGTGAGGGTAAAGACTTTGGTGTCTGAGAGCGCAAAGATATCGGAGGCAGTGAGGAAAGTCAAAACGCGGTGATGGGTGAGGAAAACGCTCGGTATAGCAGTGCTCTGACAGGACTGAAGGAGGCAACATGGTGTTCACTCAACCACCTTAAAAAAAAGATGAGATGTAAGATGGTGAGGACTTAAGTGCTGTAGCTATACAGGCCAAGGAGAAGCCTCGTCTCCTGAGGCATGGACAAGAGGTCTGGACAGGTGGGGACAGGGTATGTTTTATGGGATGGAGCTACAGGAAGGGTCCAGCACAGGGAGAGCTTCAGTGGGAAAAGATCTTGGTAATATTGAGCGTTACTGATGCACGGGCATTCCTTGAGGCACGCTAGGAAAATGAGTTGAGTGATTTGGATAGAAAGTGACTAAAATTATAAGCTTAGGCTACCTTATCTACTGAATTGAGGGACCTTCTGAGAAATGCTAGAAACTACCACCATCAGTAGTGGCAATCGATCTGTTTATCAAATGGGGCTGTCTTAGGTCTGGCACTATTCATTATATTTAAAGACATGGATGAATACAGTGTGTGCTTGTTACATTTGCAAATACTACCAAGCTGGAAAGTATGCAGGCACACTAGGGCACAAGATCAGAAATCAGAGTTATCTTGAGAAATTGGAAACATAGTCTGAAAAGAACATCTCATTACAGACAGGTGCAAAGTACTGGTATGTATGAAAAAATAATCAGATGCACAGATATAAATGGGGAATAGGAGAGGGGAAATAACAAGATGTGAAGCTCGTAAAATGTGAAACAACAATAACATAATCCTGCAAAAAAAGTCATCATACTGAGTGATGTATACAGGAGACTATCTCCAAGGCATGTGGGGTAATCCTTCCACTTCACCTGATGCTAGTAGCATTTCGTCCTGAGTACTATGTCCCAGTTTTGAGCACCATAGTTTGAAGAAGATCTGGACCAAATTAGGACAATTCCTACAAGAGCAAAAGTGATCTAGAGAATATAACTAATCAGAAAAGGTTAAAGAAATGGCGAAGACATGCGGCAAATCTTCAAATGCATTAACGGCTACTGCGTAAAGGATGCGGGAAATTATTTTGTGTCCATAGTGTATAGGAGGAGTTATGGATTTAAAGTAGAGCAAAGCAAATTTAGCTTAGCCAATAGGGAAGAAGATCTAGTAGGAAAAGACAGTCAAGTCCTAGGATAGATAGTCTAGGAAGACTGAGATCTCTGTCCCATCTTTAGAGGTTTTTAAGAATGGGTTAAATATCTATTTGTCAGGGGACGGTTTATGTGAAATTGTCTTGCAAACTGATCTTGCCTTGGAGCTGAAGGATGGACTAGGTGACATCCTGAGATCCTTCCCAGCCTTACTCTCTGTTATCCTGTAAAATGAGACAAAAATGAAGCCAGGGCAGACAATCAACAGGAGAAGGGGAGATTATGAGAGGAACAGGGTCTTAGCATGGAAAGACAGGGTGTGGGCAGGATGCGGAGCACTGGAGTAAATTCCCATGCAGGAGGGAGGTTCTTCCCGTGCCCAGGGCCCTGCTTTATCCGGGCTGCATTTGCACAGCTGGACTTTCTGGCTTGTTCCTCTTGGAGAGGAACGCAAGAGCGAGCAAGATCGTATGAGCGAGCGTGAGGGAAAATGCAGGCATTAGCTAGCAAAGCATCTTGCTATGCTATCTCGCTAAACATGTGTTTTCTCTTTTTGTTGTTTTTAGCTGATGTAGGCTTTACAGTATTTTCCTGCTCAAATAACTAGTCTGCTTCTGATGAGGTACAACAGGGACACAGGAAGATACCTGAGCAAAGAAAGTTTATGGGCCCTTCAAGATGTATGTGAATTCACAGATTCCCGCTCAGTGTTCAGACTAATCCCAACTCAGTCTGTAGTATGCAGCTTGGGAGAGCAACGTTGCCTTCATCTCCTGGGCCTTTATCATACGTCTTAGACACGCCTTCAGAGACATTTGGCTGCTTTCCTGATTGGGGCCACATTCTGCTAAATTAGGTCATAAAGCCTCCAGAAATGCGTCTGTCACCTCCAGGGGGATCCTGTGCCAGGGTGGCACGGCTCTCCACTAGCCTCCTCCAGGTGCAGCAGCTCGGCCCCAGGGAATGCAGGTGCGCTGGCACCTGGTGCTGTGCCGGGAAGACAGGGCTGCAGTGAACCAGGCAAGCAGAAACAACTGCTTGGAAAAGCCTTGCTCTGGCTTAAAGGAAACACTGGGGTAACAAAGCTAGAAATGAGTTCTCTCATGTCAGTAGTCCTTCCTGATTGAGGAAGTTCCCAGGTCCCATCCCAGGCCCTTGAACAGGATGCTGATGAGGTAACAGACTTCTTCTAGGGACAGGACCATGCATGATTTTAGGATGAGATGCTTAACTTCTGCTCTGAAATAGCTTTCCGTTAGCTTGGGTACATTAGTGGCCGGAAATGGCTAGGAAAGCTTAAATCATTTTTCCCTGAGACGTTGTCATTCCTCTCACCAGGGTTGTCGGTATTGCTCTTGTTCCTCTTTTAAGCCATGCAGACTCCCTGTTAGTTGGAAAACTGAATTTTGGGTGCAGTGTAAACCAATGAAAAAATGGGGAACCTGGGGGCTGGAGCCAACAGCGGAGCTGAGACTCTTCTCTCGGTCCAATTCTGTTCAGTATCATATAATGATATATATATATATACATATATACATATGTATGTATGTCCCTCCATATAATATTTGAATATAGGACATTTCACTTCCCTATATCTCTAGATACTGCTTGGCTCTTAACAGCAATTCTGAGAATGGCAGGGTAGCATTTTTGACCCTTTACTCCAGGAAGATGTCTTTTTTTTCTTGTCTCACTCAAATCTCAGTTATGGTGGAGCATGACGAGACTGACTGCCCAGATGACTAGCACAGTCAGTGTGAGCAGGGATAAGTCAAATTAAACATCATATCAAAAGGCTGTGCATTAACCCTGTGGTTTTACTAGTATTTCTATGTGTTCAGAGGACATAGATTGCTTTGTTGCCTGCAGTGACCATGGGCAATAAGGGGAGCTTGGCTGCTCCCAAAGGGGTAGAAGGAAGACAGGCAGACTA